TGAGTGTCTGATGCTGTGCTTTGCTGTGCCAGGGCCTGTGGGGCTCGCATTGTCAGTCGCACCGATGAGCTCCGGGAGGAGGATGTGGGAACCGGTGCCAGGCTCTTTGAAGTGAAAAAAATAGGAGATGAGTATTTTGCTTTCATCACTGATTGCAAAGATCCTAAAGCTTGCACCATCATCCTGAGGGGAGCCAGCAAGGAAATCCTAGCGGTGAGTGAGTGCATGGGCTGCTTCACCTCCTGTGCCAGCCACCTTCGTGGTGAGTCGTGGCCAGCAGACTGTGGGCTGGGCTTTCAGCTGGTGTGGTGCTGCAGGTAATAATGAGAAGGGCAGTGGCGTGAGGAAGGGTGTGGAGCACAAGGAGGAGTTGGGGGGGCTCAGCAAGCTCCCTGCTCAGTACTACCTCACAGAAGGGTCTAGCCCACTGGGTGTCAGGCTCTTCACCCTAGAAACAAGTTACAGGGTAAGAGGTTTAGACTGGATATTAGGGGAAATTTCCTCATGGAAAGTGTGGTCAGACCCTGGCACAGGCTACCCAGGGCAGTAGTGGAGTCACCATCCCTGGATGGATTTAGCAAATGTATGGATGTGGCACCTTGGGACTTGGGTTAGTGGCAGCCTTGGCAGTGCTGGGGGGAATATTTGGACTTCATTATGTTAGAGAGCTTTCCAACCTCAAAAATGTTGTGATTGTGTCCCTGTTGCAGGAGGTGGAGCGCAACCTGCAGGACGCCATGCAGGTGTGCCGCAACGTGCTCATGGATCCTCAACTGGTGCCTGGTGGGGGAGCCACTGAGATGGCCGTGGCCCATGCACTGACAGAGAAGTCCAAGGGCATGACAGGAGTGGAGCAGTGGCCCTACCGTGCAGTGGCCCAGGCCCTGGAGGTCATTCCCCGCACGCTGATCCAGAACTGTGGCGCCAGTACAATCCGTGTTCTGACTTCACTCAGGGTAAGGAATGTGCCACCAGGAGAGACTCAGCCCTTTTCTGCTTCACCAGCTCCACCTGGGATCAGGCACCGTTCAGAACAGTGCCCTTGTTGTGCTATCAGTAACATGTTCTTGTATAAACTCCAAAAGCAAGAATGTTCTCATGACCTGTTACAGTTTCCTCAGGCCGTAGTTGTGGTGGGATTCACTGGGGTCCCAAGACCAGGGAAGAGATGAGAATCTTGACTCCATGTTTCAGAAGGCTGATTTATTATTTTATTATATATATTACATTAAAACTATACTAAAAGAATAGAAGAAAGGATTTCATCAGAAGGCTTGAAAGGAAAAGTAATGGAATGATAATAAAATCCTGTGGCTGTAATTGGCCATTAATTAAAAACAACCACATGAGACCAATCTCAGATCCACCTGTTGCATTCCACAGCAGCAGATAATCATTGTTTACCTTTCATTTCTAAGGTCTCTCAGCTTCTCAGGAGAAAAAATCCTAATGAAAGGATTTTTCATAAAACATGTCTGTGACATGTAGTCAGTTTGAGACTCCAGAGGGGAAATTGCCATCTCACCCACCCTGTCCTTCTGCTTCCAGGCCAAGCACACTCAGGAAGGCAGCCAGACATGGGGGGTGAATGGGGAGACTGGAGCCCTGGTTGACATGAAGGAGCTGGGGATCTGGGAGCCCTTGGCTGTCAAACTTCAGACCTACAAAACAGCTGTGGAGGTAAGGAGAGGTGGAAACTTGAGTCTCTGTGGGTATCATCTGGGACAGGAGGACATCCTTCCCCACATGCTGGGGTGTTTGGGTGGGCATCACACCCTCAGTGCAGGGCATGCTGGTGTGTCTGAACTCATTGCTGGAGGTGGGATAGGGAGCCCAGCCTCAGGCTTTCCCAGGGCTCTTGATCCTGCAGCTGAATTTCATCATATTTCATCCCACCTTTTCCTGTAAACAGTGCAGAGTGCTCTCACTGCTTCCAGTGCCAGACAGAGCTGTGCCTGAGCAATCCTGTGCCAGCAACATGCTGGAATCAGCAGTGGTTGTTGGAGCTTTGTCCCTCTGGCTGGCTGGGGCTGCCATGTCTCAGCTGCCCTTCTCACTACAGATCCTGCCATTACCTTGCTGGTGTTGGATCAAAGGCTGTTCCTCTAGGGATACTGTGTCCCTTCTGTATCAGTCAACAAGAATAAAAAGGGTGTCCTTGTTTCCATGGTGGTGGGAGAGCAGCCCCTTGCTGCTCCCACGAGCCTGTGAGACACCTTCCCCTTTCCTGTGCTGAAAGAGCCATTTCAGCCCAGGCTGATGATTGTGTGGTGTGAAAGCTGGGCAGGTTGGGTTTTGTTTTTTGTGATGAGCTCTAAATGAGCTCTGGGTTTGGGGTTTCTCTGCAGACTGCAGTCCTCCTCCTCCGTATTGACGACATCGTTTCGGGGCACAAAAAGAAGGGTGACAACCAAAGCAAGCAGTCTGCAGCACCAGAGACAGCCCAGGAGTGAGAGGTTGAGTCTTCCCAGGGGAGAACCAACTGCCTTGACCTTGGCATGGAGAGCAGCTCAATGCAGTGGCCTCAAGGCTGAGCCTGGAAAAGTTTGTTTAAAGTCCAGGAGGGATGGAAAACACCCTGGGCATGGGGAAAAGGCAGTGACAACACTGCACTGCTTGTGGGGTGAGGGTTACTGACTGAAAATTGTCTTCACCTCAAAATAAATATGTTGTTTCAGGCTGTTTCTGTCTTCAATCCTTGTGCTGGGATGGGCTGGGCAGGGGGTCCATGCCAAGCCTGGGAGTTTCAGCCAGACCAAGGGCAGGTGCTGCACCTGCATTGGGGCACCCCAAAACACAGGCTGGGGAGGATGGATGGAGAGCAGCCCTGGGAAGGGTCTGGGGGGTTGGATTGACAAGAAGCTCAGCACGCCGTGGCAACGGGCACTGAGAGCTCTGAAAGCCAAAACTGTCCTGGGCTCATCTCCAACAGCGTGGCCAGCGTGTGAGGGGGAGATTTCTGCCCCTCTGCTCTGTTCCCTCTGGAGACACCCCCTTGTTAGAGCTGCCTCCAGCTCCGGGGTAGGGCCAGAGAATGAGATACTGGGAAGGAACTCCTCCCTGTGAAGATGGTGAGGCACTGACACAGGCTGAGAGAAGCTGGGGCTGCCCTATTCCTGGCAGTGTTTAAGGCCTGCTTGGGAGAAGACTTAGAGCAACCTGGTCTAGCAGAAGGGGGTTGGACCTGGACAGTCTTTAAAGTCCCTTCCAAACAAAAGCAATCTGTTACCCTGTTAATCCATAATCACTTTACTCTGATTCTACAAGAGGAAGAGGCCATCCCCCGTTGTGAGCCTGGCTGAAGAGATTTACTGTCACTGCCCTCTGCAGATAACCTGGCTTTGAGAGCACAGTGGTGCAAGCAGCGTGTCACAGGGAGATTTTATGATGATGCTTTATTCCCTTATCTCAGCTTTATGCCCAGAAAACCAATGCTGCAGCTTTAAGATGGAGCCAGAGGTGGAGTGGGGAGCCCTGGGCTCCTGGGCGGGCTCTGTTCAAGCTCCTCTCTGGGTGCTCCGGGCGGACAGGGACTACAATGTTCCTTTTGTTGCTTGGCGGTTTTTGCTGCTAAAGTGAAGCAAAAGGGTTTTTTCCCTTCCCGTCCCCTGCCTGCAGGCTGTACTGGGAATCCTCTCGGCGCTTTGTTATTTTTCTCTGAGCTATTCCCGCTTGCTTTTTTCTTTTTCGGCCGCTCGGGGGAGCCGGCGGGACCGGGACCGCCCCGAACCCGAGGCCTCGGAGTAGCTCAACCGACACAAGAAAGGAAATTAAAATTGAATCTTCAGCCGCTGCAAGAAGACCCTCGCCAGAAATCCAACAGGTTCCAGCTCCAGCTTCTATGAACACTTTTCTGCTCTGTCCTCATAGACAAAAAGGGCAGACACGACCTCTGCCTCCCAGCCACACGGCAAGGTGGGGTGTAAGTTTCAAAGTGTTTTTCCCTTTTTTCCCCTTGTATTTTTTTGTTGTAGTTTCTGTTTTTTCTGTTAATAAATACGGGTCTTTTCACTTTCATCCCCTGGTATCCATTTCTCTCACTGGCAGAAGAAAGAGGAATTCCTGAAGCCCTCTCTCTTTTGACAAAAACAATCATTTTAAAGCATATTTCTCCTAGAATTTTCTCCAGACCAAGACACAAGGTTTGGGCCAGGCTGGGCAAGCCCAGGAGGTTCAGTGAGGCCAGAGGCAGGGGCAATGCACACTGTCATGGTGTTCCCTTTATATTATTACAAAATCCTCAAAACCTCCACACACCAAACTGTGTGCAGAACAAAAAAGAAAACCAAGAACACAATCCTCTGCTCAACAAAACACATCATGGCCACCCAGAGAACACCAAAAACCTCCCTCAGTGCTCCTTTTGGGCAAAGCAGCAGCTGTGACCTCCCCTGTCAAATCAGGTCTGTGGTGTCACCAGAGCCATCTTGGTCCCACAGGGTGGCAGCACCTGCAGGCGACTCTGAGATATGATACTGCTATAGATACATATTATAATATTGGCTTTTTGCAAATATTTAAATGGATGCTATATGTGTAATGTTAAAGTAACTTTGTTATAAAGATGAAGTTTTAATTTCTGTTGTTAATTAAGCGTAGACATAGTCGTGAAATAGCTGATATAAGGATGCTTGTGTTAAAATGCCTGCTAGGATGGGATAACATCCAATGAACACAGGATGAGGACACCTGTACAGATCTGCCAACTATCAGCGCTCACTGTCTGAAGAAAATATGGACCAAGGCCCAAAAAACCTGGAAGTGATAAAGGAGCCAAAACTACAGCCAAGAAACAGGCATGCTCTAAAAAGGCAGACCCAAGGAGGAGCCATGTGAAACGGTTTCTGGAATATGTAAACTAGTTTATGGATATGCATAAGGGTCTATGAATATGCTGATGTAATGGAAAATGTATTTAAGGGGTTTCCCCAAAGATGACAGGGTGCTCTTGGCTCAGTGTCAAGATGCACCCAGCCATAATAACCTTTACTCTATAGTCCTTATTTCCTATTGTCCTTTATTAAAAGTTTTAAATTTTCACAGAACAGGGAAGGTGTTTCAGAAAGCTGCAGCAGGCAGAGGGGAGCTGGAGGCCGCACAGGGGGCAGAGCCCCACAGACAGGCCCCTCTGGGCACCAACACAGTGCACTGCTCAGATTGCTGCAGCTGCACACGAGAGAGGGGCTGGACAAGGCAGTTTGGGACTTCTGCTTGTTCTGTTTGCTTGTTTCTCCATTAGAACACAGAGGACACCTCACAGCTGCTGCTGCAGCCACCGAATCCTTTGCCCAGAGGGCTGAAGCACCACGCAGGCAGCACCTGGCAGGGGATGGATCCCGACCCAGCTGCTGTTCTTGGGGGTTCGGGGGTGTCCTGTCCCGAGCTCTGGGCTGCTGCTGCTGCTGGCATTGGGCTCTGCTCAGTTCTTTTTGCTCTTGGGGGTGTCATACTTCCTCTTGCTCGAGTACCAGAGCAGCAGAGGGATCCCGATGGAGGGCAGGGTCATCACGCCAAACGCCGCCCAGTCCAGCTAGAGGGAGAAATTGTTAAAGGAAAAGTCAAAACAATCCAGGTCAGGGCAGTCTTAGAGCAATGAGGTCAGAGGAGGGGAGGCAGGAGAGACCTCACACTGTCTGCAGCTTCCTCACATGGGGAAGCAGAGGGGCAGGTGCTGACCACTGCCCTCAGTGACCATGACAGGACCCAAGGGAGCACCCACAGCTGTGTCAGGACAGGCAGCATTAAAGGCTGGATATTCAGAAAAGGCTTTTTCTCCCACAGGATGCTCTCCCAGGCACTGCAAGAGGCTCCCCAGGAAAGTGGTCACAGCACCGAGCTTGACACGAGCTCAAGGAGTTTGGATAGGGCTGACAGGCACATGGTTGGGATTCCTGGGGTTGTCTCTGCAGGGCCAGGAGTTGGACTCCACAATCCTTGTGGGTCCCTTCCAGCCCAGGAGTTTCTAAGATTCTGCTCTCAGATTTTCTGCCTCAAATGCCACAGTGCAACTCCTTCACACAGGGAGCTGGGATGGAAACTCAGCCGCTTCTGTGACAGTTCTCTGGAGAACTGACAGGAACCAACTCCAGCTCCCTCTGGAGCTCTCCAGGTGACTGCAGGCCAAGCCACACACCCCATGTGCAAGCAGGAAGCCACCACACTGGGCTGCAGCTGCCTGCTGCACTTTTCCATTGTCCATGGAAAGGTACTCACAAAGTGAGGGGAGAACCTCCTGTCAAAGTCACGCTGAGCCAGGATTCCTCCCTGCCCAGGAGCACTGGTGAAGCCAACCTGGAAAAGGCACGGAAAAGACTTTGCCACCTTTCCTGCTCACTCCAGAACTGGGCAGGCTGAGAGCAACACAGACATGCATCACCTCGACCATGCAGCTCTGGGAGCACGGTCAGGTGTGTCTGCAGGTGCCACAGACACGTTTTATGAAAAATCCTTTCCTTAGGATTTTCCTCCTGAAAAGCTGGGAGGCCTCAGGAACAAAATGTAAACAATGGTTATCTGCTGCTGCGGAATGCAACAGGTGGATCTGAGTTTGGTCTCACATGGTTGTTTCTAATTAATGGCCAATCACAGCCCAGCTGGCTCAGACTCTCTGTCCAAGACACAAGCCTTTGTTATTGATTCCTTCATTTTCTATTCTTAGCTAGCTTTCTGATGAAATCCTTCCTTCTATTCTTTTAGTATAGTTTTAATATAATATATATCATAAAATAATAAATCAGCCTTCTGAAACATGGAGTCAGATCCTCATCTCTTCCCTCATCCTCAGACCCCTGTGAACACCACCACATGCAGGGATCCCACAAATCAGGCACTTACCACCACCTGGGCACCCTCCTGTGCCAGGTACGTGATGGTGGCAGAGGTGAAGTTGAAGTACCCAGCCTTGAGAGGCCGCAGAACCACGGTGTGGGACACGTTGCTGGCTCTGGGAGTTGGATGTTAAGGAACACTGCTGTATTTCAGGAAGAAAAGGGAGGAGATGGGGAAGAGCAAGCAGGAGCCAGGTGAACAAGTCAGTGCTGCTGACAGATCTGAGTGCTCGTGGTCACAGACAGCCAGAGCCAGCCACGGCTGACCCAGCTGCTCCTCCACAGGCACAGGAACCACCCCAGGACCTGCTCCTGTCTGCAAGGAACTTTGTTTCTACACTGCACCATCCAGAAGAGGAAAAGTTTGGATCTGGCACCCTGTCCAGGCTCTGGAAGGAATTTCAGGGACAGCAGATGAAGACAGGATGAAGCTGCAGGATGCTCAGGGGCAAGAGAGAGAGCTGGGAGAAATTTCCAAACATGAAAAGATACGGAGCAATCCTGTCCCACTTGACGTTGAGCATGCCAGAGACGATGCCAAAATCTTCTGGGGGGAAGGAATCATCCGACAGCTCCACGTCCAGGGCAGCACTGAACACAACAAAGAGAGGGATGAGACAGGAACCTTAAGCTTTGCCATCTGCTCATAGGCTCTGCAGCAAAGTGCACTGACACTTTCATCTTGACCAAATGGAAGAATTGGTTTTTCAGAGATAAAATGTCACCAGTAGAAGGTGAGGAGGAGAGTTGAGGTAACGTACAGGGAGACTGCAGAGGGAGGAAGGCAAAGCTGAGAGAAACAAACACAAGGACAGGAAAACCACCATTTTTTCCACAACACAATTTGGCAGTTTGCTGAACTTCAGATATCATCCCATGGATACACATGCTGGCCTAAATAACAACCAAATCCCACATATAAAATTACAGGATCTCATTAATGTTGTATCAATTCAACATTACAGCACCATATATTCTTCTGTTAGCAGTACTGCACTCAGTATACATTATTCTTAAAAAAAAAATCTAAAAAACCAAAATCTCAAAGCCCTTTAATAGTGTTCTGCATTTGTTCATTCAGCTTTTCATTCTGGAATGAAGCTTTTTACCAGCATGGTGGAAGTTCTGTTTTATCTTTGTCAGGTCCTGAGTTAATCCTGATAGCAAAAAGGAATTTTCAGAAAGCCAAGAAAGGGAGCTGCATGCGTGGGGAACACAGTGTCACAGGACAGGGCTTACCTGGAGCCAACATTGTAGATGTTGTACTGCAAAGTCAAGTCCTTGCCCTCCACTGCATATCTGTTTAACAGGGATTTGGAGGCCAGGAGCCTGGCACCATCCTCACAGTGAGCCACAGACACCAGAGCAAACACGGCAAGGAGAGGGAGCTTCATCTAGAAACACAAAGAAATGGAAGTGATCATCTGAAATCTCTGAACTTGCCTGTGAGGATGTAAGAATTGGCACAGCAGTGTCCCAAATCTGCAGCCATGGAAGAAAAGCTCATGATCTTCTCCCCTTTCAAAGCCCTGGCCAGTACAATTCCCTTTTAGAGAATCATGGAACTTCCTGAGTTGAAAGGGACCCAAAAGGATCACCAAGTCCAAGCCCTGGCCCTGCACACCTCAATAATGGGCAAAGCTTTCACATCATTAAGCCTCTTCTAGAAACTTCCAGAGCAAAAGCTTTGGTAATTAACAACTTCATCAGTTTTAGCAACTGATGGTTAATTGCCCTTGCAAAGCCTGGCAACTTTCCAGCGCTGTTTTAGACAACAGGTTTAGTCCTTAGAAAGCACATTATTACTATTATTACTATTATATTAAGATAATAAAGAAGAAGGAAGGAAGGAGAAGAAAGGAAGGAGAAGAAAGGAAGGAGAAGAAAGGAAGGAGAAGAAAGGGAGGGAGAAAGGGAGGGAGAAAGGGAGGGAGAAAGGGAGAAATCAAGAAAGGGAGAAGAAAGGGAGAAAGGGAGAGAGAGAGAGAAAGAGAGAGAGAGAGAGAGAGAAAGAGAGAGAGAAAGAGAGAGAGAAAGAGAGAGAGAAAGAGAGAGAGAAAGAGAGAGGGAAAGAGAGGGAAAGAGAGGGAAAGAGAGGGAAAGAGAGGGAAAGAGAGAGAGAGAGAGAGAAAGAGAGAGAAAGAGAGAGAGAGAAAGAGAGAGAAAGAGAGAGAAAGAGAGAGAAAGAGAGAGAAAGAGAGAAAAGAGAGAAAAGAGAGAGAGAAAGAGAGAGAGAGAGAGAGAAAGAGAGAGAGAAAGAGAGAGAGAAAGAGAGAGAGAAAGAGAGAGAGAAAGAGAGAATTCCAACATTATTCTTCCCCATTTCCAGCCACTGAGAACCACCAACTCCCTCCAGTGGCGTTTATGATCCTCTGCACAAGTCCCTGCTTCAGGCCACGCGTTCTGACTGATCCAAACCCAGCGCTGAGAGGACCAGGGGACAACAGGAACGCCACAGATGTGACCAGTGAGGGCACTTGATGGTGTTAAATGCAAAAACTGCTTCAATGTCAGGGCCTCTGCCCTCCACAGTCACAGGGAGGTGGTTGGGGTTGGACAGGACTGTAAAGAAAATGCAATTCCATCCCCTGTCATGGGCAAGGACAGTTTCCACTAGCCCAGGCTGCTCCAAGCCCCATCCAACCCGGCCTTCCAGGGATGGGGCAGCCTCAGCTTCTCTGGACAACCTGTGCCAGGTCCTCACCTCCCTCACAGGCACCAATTTCTTCCCAATATCCCATCTAACCCTGCCCTCTGGCAGTGGGAAGCCTTGTTTTGTCACTCCAGGCCCTTGTCAAAGTCCCTCCCCAGCTCTCTTGGAGCCCCTTTAGGTCCTGGAAGGGGCTCTGAGGTCTCCCTGGAGCCTTCTCTAAGCTGAGCACCAGCTCTCCCAGCCTGTGCCCAGAGCAGAGGAGCTCCAGAGCCCTCAGATCATCTCTGTGGCCTCCCCTGGGCTCACTGCAGCAGCTCCTTGTCCTCCCTGTGCTGGAGGCAGCTCTGCAGGGCAGGGTCTCAGCAGAGCAGAGGGGCAGAATCCCCCCCTCACACGCTGCTGGGGATGAGCCCAGGACAGTGTTGGCTTTCTGGGCTCCCAGTGCACGTTGCCATAGCGTGCTGAGCTTCTTGTCAGTGTCCCATGCCCCCACATCCTTCCCAGGGCTGCTCTCCATCCATTCTCCCCCAGTCTGTTTGTGTTTTGCGGTGCCCCAGTGGAGGTGCAGCACCTGCCCTTGGCCTCGCTGAACCTCCCGGGCTTGGAAGCCCCTTCCTTCCCCCCAGCCGTGCCCTGCTGCAGCTCAGGCTGCTCCTGCCCCCTCACGAATCCCACAGGGGCTCAAGGACCCTCCCAACAGGGAACCACCCGCTTTCACCCGCGCTGCCCGCGGAACACCGCGGCTCTGACGCTCCAGCCGGTCCTTCCTGGCCCCTCAGAGCCGATCCTCTCCTACAGACCCGTCCCGAGGGCCGAGGACACGGACTCCAGCGACCCCGAGCCTCCCGTCCTTCCCGCCCCTCACCGTCTCCGCCGCCGCCAACGCCGCAAAGACGAGTCAGCGCCACCGAGGCGGAAATGACGCACCAACGGCGACTCAGGACAGCGCTATGCCCCCTGGGAAATGGAGTCCTGTGCGCATGCAGGAACTCCGCGCCTGCGCAGAGCGCGCTTCCTGCTCTGCCCATTGCCTACGGTGGCGGAAGTAGGGGCGGGCGCTGCTTTTAGTTATAGATGGGACTTGTAGTTGGTGCTTTTAGTTATAGATGGGACTTTTCGTTATGGTCAGTGCTTTTAGTTATAGTTGGTACTTTTAGTTATAGTTGGTGTTTTTAGTTATAGTTGGGACTTTTAGTTATTGTTGGTGCTTTTAGTTATAGTTGGTACTTTTAGTTGTAGTTGGTGCTTTTAGTTGTAGTTGGGGCTTTTAGTTATAGTTGGCTTTTAGTTATAGTTGGGATTTTTAGTTATTGTTGGTGCTTTTAGTTATAGTTGGGACTTTTAGTTGTAGTTGGTGCTTTTAGTTATAGTTGGGATTTTTAGTTATTGTTGGTGCTTTTAGTTATTGTTGGTACTTTTAGTTGTAGTTGGTGCTTTTAGTTGTAGTTGGTGCTTTTAGTTATAGTTTGGACTTTTGGTTATAGTTGGTGCTTTTATTTTAGTTATTGTTGGTGCTTTTAGTTATAGTTGGTACTTTTAGTTGTAGTTGGTGCTTTTAGTTGTAGTTGGGGCTTTTAGTTATAGTTGGCTTTTAGTTATAGTTGGGATTTTTAGTTATTGTTGGTGCTTTTAGTTATAGTTGGGACTTTTAGTTGTAGTTGGTGCTTTTAGTTATAGTTGGGATTTTTAGTTATTGTTGGTGCTTTTAGTTATTGTTGGTACTTTTAGTTGTAGTTGGTGCTTTTAGTTGTAGTTGGTGCTTTTAGTTGTAGTTGGTGCTTTTAGTTATAGTTTGGACTTTTGGTTATAGTTGGTGCTTTTATTTTAGTTATTGTTGGGGCTTTTAGTTATAGTTGGGGCTTCTAGTTATAGTTGGTGCTTTTAGTTATAGTTGGGACTTTTAGTTATAGTTGGTGCTTTTAGTTATTGTTGGTGCTTTTAGTTATAGTTGGTGCTTTTCGTTATGGTTGAGACTTTTAGTTATTGTTGGGACTTTTAGTTGCTGCTGCCCCATCCAGACTAGATCCTGTAATTAGAGCATGAGCCATCCCCATCTCCTGCAGGAAACGAAAACCTTCTGTGAAATACAAAGCTGTGTTTGGTGTCAGGTACAAACAGGCGACGTGTGTATTTGTGATTGCGAAATGTGTGGACACTGACAATGGGACAGTTGCGAATTTTAATAATAACTGAGGAAAATAAAGCATGGAAAAAGGCCTCTGAACCTATCTGTTTTTACAATTAACCTTGGTTGATTTAGGAGCATTGGAATTAAAGCGTTAAAGATGTTGCTCTTTGCTTGTAGTTAATCCTTACAGAGTTCTGCAATAATAAACTTTTGAAGTATAATTTTAGAATATTGCTTGTATCCTTGAAACTATAGCTTTGGAATATAGATAAAGGAAATATGCTTATCTCACACCTTAATAAAGCACAGAAAAACAGCATGAGAAAGGAAGATGAACGTCAACTCAAGGATTGATGGTTTCGACCAAGGGAAGCTGTACATCACTGTTATGAGATTTATAGTCTCTGCAATTAAAAGGTGGACACACATCTGGGGAGCTGGACCCCACTAGATGGGATACATCATGAGAAAAATCACAATAGTGTATAGAATTGTGATGTAAAATTCAGGAATAGAAACTGCTGATGAGTAAAAAAATTGGAATAGAAAATGCTGAGAAAGCTGATGAGTACCCCTATAAATACCTGTAAGCCTCAACTATCGGTGTGTAGAGGGAAAACTTCCCCCACTGTACCCAGCACTGGATTGCTTATACTTTACCATATTAATTAATAAATTGATTGCTGCTTGAATATTGGCCTATTGGCTTCTTATTGATAACACTTCTGCCTGGAACATCAGTTTGTGAGGGATGGCACTAATTCACCAATTCCTCAGCTCATGGCGCCATGCTGGGCCGGGGTCTCGTAGGAAGGCTCTGCAGAAGAGCAGCAGGTGTATCTCGGCACCACAAGGAGCTCTGGCCACGCCAGCAGCCTGCCCAGGTGCACAGGGGATGTGTAAAGCACTGGGGAAGGAGTGAAGGAGAAGGAGCTGGGCTAAATTCCCCAAGAATCAGGTGCACAGAACCTCAGGGCTCCCTGCTTGACTCACTCCCCAGAGACTCAAACAAGAGGTGTCCCGACCTCCCTGGTGCAAAGCCAGCAGCACAAGAAATCTGCTGGTGTTTCCAGCCCTGCAGGAAGCCCCCAGAGCTCCCCTGGGCCTGTGTCTATCAGGCAGAGTACCTCTGGTGGGAGAAAGGCCTCAGGACCCTGCTCTGGACACATTTTGCTCCTCACACACACGTGGAGCAGCAGCTGGGTCTGTTTGCTGTGTTCAGTGCTGCCCTGGACGTGGAGCTGTCGGATGATTCCTTCTCCCCAGAAGATTTTGGCATCGTCTCTGGCATGCTCAACGTCAAGTGGGACAGGATTGCTCCGTATCTTTTCATGTTTGGAAATTTCTCCCAGCTCTCTCTCTTGCCCCTGAGCATCCTGCAGCTTCATCCTGTCTTCATCTGCTGTCCCTGAAATTCCTTCCAGAGCCTGGACAGGGTGCCAGATCCAAACCCCTCTCTTCTGGATGGTGCAGTGTGAAAACAAAGTTCCTTGCAGACAGGAGCAGGTCCTGGGGTGGTTCCTGTGCCTGTGGAGGAGCAGCTGGGTCAGCCGTGGCTGGCTCTGGCTGTCTGTGACCACGAGCACTCAGATCTGTCAGCAGCACTGACTTGTTCACCTGGCTCCTGCTTGCTCTTCCCCATCTCCTCCCTTTTCTTCCTGAAATACAGCAGTGTTCCTTGACATCCAACTCCCAGAGCCAGCAACATGTCCCACACCGTGGTTCTGCGGCCTCTCAAGGCTGGGTACTTCAACTTCACCTCTGCCACCATCACGTACCTGGCACAGGAGGGTGCCCAGGTGGTGGTAAGTGCCTGATTTGTGGGATCCCTGCATGTGGTGGTGTTCACAGGGGTCTGAGGATGAGGGAAGAGATGAGGATCTGACTCCATGTTTCAGAAGACTTGATTTATTATTTTATGATACATATTATATTAAAACTATACTAAAAGAATAGAAGGAAGGATTTCATCAGAAAGCTAGCTAAGAATAGAAAATGAAGGAATCAATAACAAAGGCTTGTGTCTTGGACAGAGAGTCTGAGCCAGCTGGGCTGTGATTGGCCATTAATTAGAAACAACCATGTGAGACCAAACTCAGATCCACCTGTTGCATTCCGCAGCAGCAGATAACCATTGTTTACATTTTGTTCCTGAGGCCTCCCAGCTTTTCAGGAGGAAAATCCTAAGGAAAGGATTTTTCATAAAACGTGTCTGTGGCACCTGCAGACACACCTGACCGTGCTCCCAGAGCTGCATGGTCGAGGTGATGCATGTCTGTGTTGCTCTCAGCCTGCCCAGTTCTGGAGTGAGCAGGAAAGGTGGCAAAGTCTTTTCCGTGCCTTTTCCAGGTTGGCTTCACCAGTGCTCCTGGGCAGGGAGGAATCCTGGCTCAGCGTGACTTTGACAGGAGGTTCTCCCCTCACTTTGTGAGTACCTTTCCATGGACAATGGAAAAGTGCAGCAGGCATCTGCAGCCCAGTGTGGTGGCTTCCTGCTTGCACATGGGGTGTGTGGCTTGGCCTGCAGTCACCTGGAGAGCTCCAGAGGGAGCTGGAGTTGGTTCCTGGCAGTTCTCCAGAGAACTGTCACAGAAGCGGCTGAGTTTCCATCCCAGCTCCCTGTGTGAAGGAGCTGCACTGTGGCATTTGAGGCAGAAAATCTGAGAGCAGAATCTTAGAAGCTCCTGGGCTGGAAGGGACCCACAAGGATTGTGGAGTCCAACTCCTGGCCCTGCAGAGACAACCCCAGGAATCCCAACCATGTGCCTGTCAGCCCTATCCAAACTCCTTGGGCTCGTGTCAAGCTCGGTGCTGTGACCACTTTCCTGGGGAGCCTCTTGCAGTGCCTGGGAGAGCATCCTGTAGGAGAAAAAGCCTTTTCTGAATATCCAGCCTTTAATGCTGCCTGTCCTGACACAGCTGTGGGTGCTCCCTTGGGTCCTGTCATGGTCACTGAGGGCAGTGGTCAGTGCCTGCCCCTCTGCTTCCCCATGTGAGGAAGCTGCAGACAGTGTGAGGTCTCTCCTGCCTCCCCTCCTCTGACCTCATTGCTCTAAGACTGCCCTGGCCTGGATTGTTTTGACTTTTCCTTTAACAATTTCTCCCTCTAGCTGGACTGGGCGGCGTTTGGCGTGATGACCCTGCCCTCCATCGGAATCCCTCTGCTGCTCTGGTACTCGAGCAAGAGGAAGTATGACACCCCCAAGAGCAAAAAGAACTGAGCAGAGCCCAATGCCAGCAGCAGCAGCAGCCCAGAGCTCGGGACAGGACACCCCCGAACCCCCAAGAACAGCAGCTGGGTCGGGATCCATCCCCTGCCAGGTGCTGCCTGCGTGGTGCTTCAGCCCTCTGGGCAAAGGATTCGGTGGCTGCAGCAGCAGCTGTGAGGTGTCCTCTGTGTTCTAATGGAGAAACAAGCAAACAGAACAAGCAGAAGTCCCAAACTGCCTTGTCCAGCCCCTCTCTCGTGTGCAGCTGCAGCAATCTGAGCAGTGCACTGTGTTGGTGCCCAGAGGGGCCTGTCTGTGGGGCTCTGCCCCCTGTGCTGCCTCCAGCTCCCCTCTGCCTGCTGCAGTTTTCTGCAGGGTGTCATATCTCAGCGTCCCTTCCAGGTGCTGCCTGCCATGTGGGACAGATATTGTTCTGGTGACACCACAAACCTGATTTGATCGAGGATGTCACAGCTGCTGCTTTTTCCTCTTGATGCTGTTCTCTGACCCGCCAGCCTGCCCAGGTCCATGGTGGCCTTGTAAAGCCACGAGGGTGGAGTGCAGGGAGGAAGATCAGGGATAAATTCCACAAGAATCAGGTGCACAGGCTGGGAAACTCTCCCTGCTCTGGGGATGCTCTGCTTACCTACACCCACCCACAGCCCCCTCCCCACGACAGGCTGCAGCTTTCTGCTGACACTGGATCAGGACATGTCCTGACCTCCCTGGTGCAAAGCAGTAACAAAACAACCCTGCTGACATTTCCAGCACTGCAGGAAGCTTTCCCTGTGCCCTTGTTCCTCAGGCAGCTCCCTCTGGTGGGAAAAGGGCCCCAGGGCCCTCTTCTGTTCACATTTTCCCCTTGCACACACCCAGATGAGCAGCCCATGAGCACCAGTGCAGGGCCCTCTCACTGCTGTGTGTGCTGGGAAAACCCTTTCACTGGAGATCCCAGCCTGTGCCAGCACCTCTTCCTACAGCCACTTTCTTCTTTCCCTGCTGCTTCAGGCAGAAGTTCTCCAAGCTGCACACAATGAAATGCAGGACAGAAGTCCAATCCCTGTTGGCCATTGAGGCCACTAAACTATTCTCTCTCCCCTCTCACCCCACCTCTCTGTATGGTTTGCTGCAGCCAGGTCAGCTCCTGGCAGTCTTGAAGCACTGATGCCACACCTGTCCTGGCTCTTAGAACCTCAGACCCTTTTCTGTGAAGCAAAAGCATTTTTGGGAACTGTTTCATTCCCCCCCCCCCAGTGAGCCCCTGTCTCAGTGCTGCTGGTCAGTATGTGATGGCTTTCAGGCCAGAAGAGATCCCACAGCTCCATTGCCACCCACACAACTGTGTTCTGGAATACTCTGCCTTGGGTTAAGGAGGGGGGAAGCCACACAGAAGGGGTTCCAAGAGGGTTCTGTCATTGCTGGCTGGGTCTGAGAGCAAAGAAAGATAGGATTTTTGGTATGGGGGTTATGGGGACAAGATGGAGGAATCTGGGCATGTCCAGCCTTTCTTCTTCTTCTTCTTCTTCTTCTCCATTTTCTGCAGTGATGTTGGCACTTTGAGATTGGTTTAGAGTAGAAGTGCACTGTCTAACAGAGATGATAGGTATTGGAAAGTTATTGTAAATATGTTATATTTAGAATAGAAGTGCACTGTCTAACATAGGTGACAGGTATTGGGAATTAAGTGTAAATTTGTTATATTTGGAATATAAGTTCACTGTCTAACATAGGTGACGGGTATTGGGAATAAAGTGTAAATATGTTATACGTAGTTTGTAGTATAAAAGGACAACACAGAGAGTGCCTGTGGCTGCCCTGCTGAGCAGATCTCGGCTGGGCAGAAAGAAATTTTTATAGATAAGAATTAATAAACAACCTCAAGACCAAAAAGTGAAGAGTCCAGACTCGTTCTTTAGTTGCACAGGACGAAGCAGAGACATCCTGCACATCTCAGGGCAGCAATTATCAACAGCAACCCAAGACTCCTGTGTGTAGTTTTGACTTTGGTTGGAAAGAGACCCCAGTGCAGCACATCTTCCAAACGTGGCTGGCATTGATTCGGCATTAATGGTCTCATATCCAGTGTGTGTGTCCCAGCAGCATCTCTCTTGGCCAAGTGCAGATGTCCCTCCTAACTGTGTAACACAAAAACCCTTAATCAGGATAAAACCGTGTATTTTGGGGGAGAAAATTTATTGGTACCACTTTACAGCTGTGCAAGTTCATTTAATGCAAAAGGACAATCAAAGACTTCTGTCACAGGAGTATTTTTACTGGGTGTGTATAACCACACACACCTCTCTCCTCAGGATAAAGTGAATTACTGAGATTTGTTCCTCATTTTACTCTTTAAAATTTTACACTTCAGTTCCAGTTTTACTGATCAAGCAAGAGTGGTGTGCAGCAGCAGTGCAAGGACTGGAGCTGTTGGGAGTGGGGATACCTCCCCTTGTTCTTGCAGGGGAGGAGTTTCTTAATTTTGAATGGGATTGTTAAAAATAATGATCTGCTGGTCAGAGCTGTTTCCCTTGTTTTGTGTCTCTTTGGGAGGTTGGGGTGAGATTATGTCTGTTAGGACATCTGAATGTCAGACTGGGAGATGGGCAATGAAAGAGCAGGGGTGAGGAGGATGAGGGGATGTCCACCCCCAAAAGGTGCCTGTGTTGGTTTCAACAACAAATGAGGAGCTCAACTCCAAGCAAGCCACTGTCCTTCCCCTCCTGCCATCAAGGGAGGGACAGTAAATCAGAGATGAATGACTTAAAAATAACAATTTGTTAAAAAATAAAATCATAAAGCAATGGAATGAGACATACGGGATGGAAAGAAATTTGTACAAAATAAAGGAAAATGTTTTAACCAGCAAAAATCAAGGTGTTTGATAGCTCCCTTGTAACAAAGAGAAAACGGCTGCTGCTTCCCTTAGCAGCTCTCGTGGCCCAGGAGGACAGAGACAAGGTGGTGGTGGGGCTCTCTTGGCACTTCCTCCCTGGAATTAAAAAACTGGGATGTCAGGGGCTTGTGGAGTAATTCTGATGGTGGATGGGAGGTGCTGGCATTGGCTGGTGAGCTCCAGAGCTGCAGCATCAGTTTCCCTGCTCCCTCTCAGTGACAGCAGCAGAGTTTTGGCACTTCCCTGCCTCTTCCTGCCCTTTCTGCAGCAGCTGGGCTCTCCCTCAGCTGGGTTGGACTCAGCTGGGTTTGGGCTCTTCTGCTCTTGGGGCAGGAAGGAATTCCCAATGGGGGAAGCCAGGCACTGAAAAATGCACCCTAGCCCCACAGGAAGATCTTTCTGTCCTTGCTCCTCTTCTCTGGGAGTAATTCTTGGATGTAATGAATTTTGGAGGCAGAATCAAAATTTCAGCCTCACAGAGGATGAATGTGGCTTTTGTCAGAGCAAGCCTTGGGTGTATGGAATTTTGGAGGTGGAACCCAATTTTGGCTATGGGCTCCTGAATGATAATGACACCATAGGAAGGCTTCCTGTGATGAGTGGAAGCTTCAGACAAGCCCTGACTTAGCCTCAGATTTTGGTTTAAATAAACAGTTTAAATTTAAGGGATCACTCTGGACTGCAAATTCTAACAATGGCAAATCAGATCTATTTATAAAAATTAGTTATTTATCACACAGACAAGAGACAACACATGAAAGATCCTAATCAGAATTACTTACTACACAGTAGAAAACTAAAGACCTACTAGTAGATTATAGCATAATATAAAACAGTGCACTATATCAAGGTAACTGCATTAAAGCTAGCAGAAGAAATAGTATTGATTAGGAGGCAAATGTAACTTACCACCAAAATGGCAATAATGCACAGAGATTCCTTCACTTAACCCCTGGGGAGTAACTGTGAAGCAGGTGTCTGTACTCACAAGAGAAACTCCACACATTTCCATGGAAATGTAGAGAAGATTTGTGAAAGTTTGGTATGGCTTTTGGAGTTTGTAAAGTGAGGTGTCTGTCAGTCAAAAATCTGACTTACATTGCCAGATCTTACTTCAACAGTGAGATGTTTATTGGCATTTGGGGGATGCCAGAGCATTGTACCAGAATAACTGCCTACAAAACAGCTTTTGACAGTCCTGTTTGAGTTATCTGACTGTTAACAAGCAATAAATTGTTTGTTAGCCCTTGTGGGAGGGTCAGATACCCTGCTATGGAAGGAAATTATGTAGGCCTGAAGTTTCAGGTTGTCCTAGGTTGCAAGGCAATGTGTATTCTATTTGCCATCTATTAGAGGTGGGGCAGTTATCTTCTGTTAATTGGGCAGCTTTCTTTATCTCTTCCACAAACCAATCCTTCCTACAGGGACACAACTGCTGTTAATGGGCCAGTGAGTGTCACTGCATGGCTGATAAAATTCCATCATCCCATTCTGAGATGCTCTGCCCAGAGGGAGGAGCCAAGCATTCCCAACTGGATATAACCTGAGATTTTGGGACACCAGAACAGCATTTCCACTGGATTTCCAGAGGAACAGCTGCCTTTTCTACTGGATCTTTAGAGGAAGACTGCGCCTTTCTACAGGATCCCTGCTCCATCAGAACCACCCCTGACACTCCAGGAGTGGGTTCTGACTCTGGCAGTGTTGTTATAGTTTACTGCATTGGTTTTTTTTAATTTATTTTCTTCCCTAATAAAGAACTTGTCTTGGTTTGGAAAGAGAGGAGTCTGCTAAGGAAGGCAGGAGCCTCCCCTGAAATGGAGAATGTAAACCCTCCCCACCCCTCCCAATTGCTATAAATTTTAAATTAAGGGGCTCTCGGGCAAAAATATGGGAGCAGGAAATAACAGTTCTTTAATAGGGAAGAAAAATAAAAGGATAAAATGAACAATGCAGTACACTAAACCAACACTGCCAGAGTCAGAACCCAACCTGACACCCTGTGGGGTGTTGGTGGCAGTCCCATTGGAATTGTGGCTCAGCCCTCCTGCAGGGTCAGGTGTGGCTCTGTTGGAGCAAGAGGGATCTATAGAGCAGGATGCATTCTTCCTCTGAAGATCCATTGGAACGAGAGGCAGCTGCTGCTCCTCTGGGAAATCCAATGGAGAAAGCCGTGCTGGTGTCTCAAAACCTCTGGATTATATCTGGGTAGCAATGCTTGGCTCCTCCCTCTGGGCGGAGCATCTCCCAATGGGATGTTATAGCTCCTATCAGTCATGCACTGACATTCAATAGCTGTTATCAGCAGATGTCCCCTCCCATGTGGTCACTCAAAGACAGAGATAAGGCAAACTGCCCACTTGACAAAGGATAGCCTGCCATACAGTTGGTAATTGAAAATATCTTGCATTGCAATCTGGAACAGAACTGTTATTCCCTGCTCCCATATCTTTGCCTGAGAGCCCCCCCTTAA